ATAGCAGGAACTCGTTTAATCTCAAGTTTATTCATTCAATCAAAAAAATAAGTAAAAAAAAACAAAAAGACGCATTCCTGTTATTATTTGTTAGTATTTATTACTTTTAAACCGCAGGGAAAAAGTATCATGTGTAGCTTTGGCCTATGTTCTGTGCCTCAATCGATCAAGACTTCTTTGACTGCACGGGCACGAAAGATGGGCTGCTTTATTTTTTTACGAGCGGAAATCCTCATCTTAAAGGATTGGAGTAAAGATTAACAAGAAGGACGAATTAGGAACCGAGAAATGTCATAATGCGAAGGTTGCAAGGAATATCAGAGCGGAGGAACATCTGATATTACGTAGTTTACTTTGTTTGTTACTAGAAGATCGGGTAATGAAAATAGGTGATAAATTAGCAGGCATTGATTTTATAAACCTATTATATATTTGTTGTTTCGGAAAAGATATTTTGCTATAATTTATTTTAAATATGCGAGGACCGAGGATCGACACTCTTGCAGCCTGGTTCTCAAAACACGACTCTAAAAACTGGAATCAAAGGATAGCCATATAGTTATGAATCCAAAGCCTAACGTTTAAATATTCAGACAATTTTGTCTAACCAAGTCACCAAGAGGTTCCGTACAAATTCTGTCTTTTTCCTCTTGAGGAGATGATGCGACTAGGTTTAATACTTTAATATATATGCTGTGATCAGAGAATTCAGCGTCAAATACTCAACAACCTGAAATCTTTTCCACACTTTTAGGATTTTTTAGAGTATCTCGGAAACATGTTTATTATTCAAGGAAGCATTAATTGTATCTCTTATTCAAATGGCTCGATCCCAGATAAGATTAAAGAAAAACAATAATCCCGTTTTTGTTAATCAATTAAATTAAGTTTAACAGCAAACATTTTATAACAAATTCAGTGGAAGTGCTGAAGGTTGGTTGTTTTCATTCTAAAACTGGAGATAACGTGTTATTACATTCCACGTCGATCTGTTGTCTTGATTATAACAAATGAAATTTTTCAACAGGACGGTAATAAATTTAGTAACCCTTGCCCTGGTACCTTTCATGTTTTAAATCTATTTATTGGTGCCTAGACATCAACTTTTCCGTCAATCCATAAATCTTTAGTGTTTAGATATGGATTAACTCTTTTTGATGTACAAAAGTCGTACGCGTTAACACTACTGTCCAAACTAGTTGTTCTGAAGTATTTTTTATTCTTTAATATTTTTAATATCTAATATCATCATTAAAAGATATTGTACTTAATTTGCCACGAACGCGTATTAATTACGTTAAAAATTTAATACATTTATTTTCTATTAAACAAGAGTATAGCTCAATTTTATCTATTCATTGAAAAGTTAGCCTGAAAACATAGTTAAATGAAGCAGAACATATAAAATTGTGTGGATTATTTTAGAAATAGCATGAATTTTCGTTTTAAATAATGCAATTGGAATGATATTTTAATGATTGTTTGCTACTTAACACTATATTGTAATAAATAGGCTCGGAAAAAATTCGACATAACATCCATTCCTTCAAACCAAAAAATTTTCTCTTAAGTTTGGCGCGAAGAAAAAAATTAAAATTATAAAGGATATGATGAATTATGAATTCAAAAGCCTCAGTTGATGTTTATTTGTAGGTACCAATATACAGGAGGTTCATGGCGATATTTAAGAAGTCAATTTCACCACATGATTTTTTTTCATGGCGGCTACATTGGTTGAATGCATGTATATGACCCTCCTAACTTGATCTTTATACATTGCCTCATTCCTTCTAGAATTTTTATATTCTATATATTAATATGTTTATCAAACTTCAATTCTGTTGGTGCAAAGCATAAAGGACAGTTTTTTTCCTCTGGCTATATTAGCTTTATCTTTTCAGCCTGTAATTGTATGAAAATAAAGCAAATTGAACAATTTTTTCGTAATCGGGCACTTAATCGGACCACATTATGTTTGGGTTCTTGTGCATTGAATTGCTTTCAGTAGTCAAGTTCATATGTTAGTGCTGCTGAAATCAGAGCTACGTTGAAATGTGGTCGAAATTTATCTATAACATTGCATGTTGAAAAATATTTTTGTAAGCGGATATCAGTAAATTCCACATTTAAATTTTATTATAGCGCAACAAAATGGATTTGGCATACATGTAAACGTTGAACAAATGGTGAAAAAATTGCTAACTTATTATAAATGAAATCGACGTTGTTTCAATGCGGAATTCAAGTCGTGTTCGGTCTACGTCAGTATTGGTAAATAATTTCATTATAATTTCATTTCCCCGAATGTAAGTACAGCCCATTTATCATTACGCGACAAGTAGAGGCTTATCAGCTATCACGATCTTATCATATAGATTAGACTTCAGTTGAGAATCATTATTGTCCCGATATGCGTAAATCTGATAATATATTTCGTGCGTAAGGAAATGGATTAATATCCTATCATAAAATTAGATAAGATAAATTTCTTCGCTCCTTCGAACGTGTGGGAGCAGTTAACAAGCAGATATGGTCTTGTACCTTGCTTGCATTTTCTGGTGGGCATAAATACGTTCGAATGTTCGAACGCCTGTGCAGAATGCACATAATAAACTCTGCATTAAATATGAAACAGATATTTGTGCAGAACATGAAAAAGTCAGCTGGCTTCACCTTAAAGACGTGATCAATAGAGAATTTTTGACAAATCCAAAGTAAAATTTCAACCTGGTGTTGGGTGATAAATAAACTTCAGCAAACCTTTATCTTTCAGCGCCCTATCATAAAGTGCGAACGTGTGATTTTGTTTATAGAAGGGGTGCCTGCAGTCTGTTACTGGCGTGTCTTATAGCTACGTTACCTACCACATTCCATTTTTATTTTATATTTTTTCAGTTTCAAGTTATTGAACCACGAGTAAACTTTGAGGCTACGATGGCGAGCAGCCGTTCAGGAACTAAAGATTCACACAGATACTCGGAAACTCAGGACAGCCGCAGCATTCAAGGCAACGGATCGCCTCGGTCTTGCCCGCCGTACCCATACCTGCGGCGAGCCAAATCGGCTTTTTATGAGAGTGATGGGACTCGCGAGTATAGCAAAAGCGTTTATAACCGCAATAATAGCGCAGACAATAACGATGATAGGCGTGAAATTTCTTGCAAACCAGAAAACCATGAATGCATACGCGCGAACATTGGTAAATGCCTTATCGCAATCCCCGTCAATGGTGCTGACTCATATCTCAGCGATGATGTTTTCGAAACTGATAATAAGACAATAACTAGTATCTGTTCTGACCACCGTACATCTGAAGTCGCAAGTCCGTCTAATGACGTCACAAGTCGAGGTAACAATAACCGTTTTCGGCGTTCTTCTCATCCTCCTCGGCCGAGGAGGGACCGCCCTGCGTCCAGAACCGATTCAATTACACCCGCTAGTCAGGCATATGAATCAACTCAAAGCTCCGTCACGGAAAAGCAATCCTGCAGCTTGCGGGAAATGTCGGTGCCACCTACTGATAAGAATTACCTCAAGTCTCTGCCTGATTCAAACGCCCACGCGACTCGTAGTTCTCCCCATAACACTGGTTCTGTCCAGCTCAGCCGCTGCAACTCTATTGATCCTTACGATGCTAGGTGTCGAAACCAAAGCGTCAGAAAACCTTGCTCCCGACGTAGATCAGGCTCGTTGAGTAGGAGGAGGACAGTCAGTGACCACTTCCGACCGAATAGTTCCTACGTAGTAACAGTCAGTGACCACATTCGACCGGATAGTTACCACGGCGTAACCGCCACCCCTCAACTCGAAGTGTTGACGCGCCGAAGCCTGAGTGATGATGTGACTAAAAATAAACGTACTTCGTCGTATTCTACGTTGTTCAAGAGCCTGTTTAGGTCGCAGAAATTGAAGCACTCGGCCGCATTATACAGTGAGTCTTGCTGCTAATTGACAAGCTTTATTCTTCCTTAAAACGACTACGACATCTAGCTGGAGCAAACCTAAAACTTGTCTGTTTCGTGTTTTCTTATTCATCTTAAAAGATAAGCAACAAATCTTGTGTTCAAGCTCAGGCAAGTTTCTATTTAATTATATGAGTCCACAAGTTCAGCTGAGTTTTGTTATGTCTTTGTAACCGTCGTGTCTTGGCAGCCACCGTTATTGATATGCACTTGATGGTATTAGTTTACGACTTATTCATTTCGAGGTAAAATTTTACGTGTAGCATCCTAATCCCTTTCTTCCCGTCTTGGACTTTTTGCAACGGTTAATTGTTCGTTGAACCTAATTCGGAATTAGAACTTCCACGCTGTGAATAAAGCTCAATCATTTCACAAAATCCACTACTGAAGTTCTTATCTATGAATGGCATTAAAAATCACAAATCATACTTTACTCATTCTCATGCAAAGCCGAAATGGAAAATTGACATTACTCTCCATTTTACTTCCATGAATTTTATGCTTGAATCACACGGAGAAGCAAACAACATACAGGCCTCATGCAAACAGCACGCCGAAGAAAACTTCACGGGCTCATCAGCGAGTATAAAGAAAATTTTCTCTTGACAGGGGGCTGTTCAAAGCGTTTACTTTCTTCAGAGCAATCTTCTAATCTTCACAACTACCTAACTATAACATTTTCAGCTGTGTAGTAACCTTTTCTGTGTGTTGGTATGATTTTGCAAGATAGGTTACGAAATGCTTCATCAATTTAACATTTATTTTTTACCCTCCTTGATGAAGACTGAAGCTAAGATGCTGTACAGGGCCTTTACTTTCAAAAAAAGTTAAGAGATCGTAAGTTCATCAGCCAATCATTGACGGCCTTCAAGGGAAAATCCACCAATAATAGACAAGAAAATAGAGCGTAAGTACTTATGTTCACTTAGCGAGTTTTGAAAGTATGGCCTCTGATTTTCAGGTGAAGGTGGAGTTTCTTCAGGAAGCGTTCAGAGCGCTGGCTTCATAGTACACTTCAACATTTCTTGTCTGTTGCAGGTGAAGACGGGCAGGAGGGGGAGATGCGGGTGCTGGTGGGGGGCGAGGAAGACTGCGCCCCCAGCAGCAGAGGATCTTCATCCTCAGCAGGACCCATGGAGCGCCTCACGCGCCTCCTGACCAAGGAGCCCCGCCGGGACGGCGAGTACAGGCGCAGGACGCATTCCCTCGAGAGGTGAGGGGAGGAAGGCTGGGGAAGGGGAGAGCTGGCACTCCCTCGAGAGGTGAGGGGAGGAAGCTGGGGAAGGGGAGAGCTTGCATTCCCTCGAGAGGTGAGGGGAGGAAGGCTGGGGAGGGGAGAGCTTGCATTCCCTCGAGAGGTGAGGGGAGGAAGCTGGGGAAGGGGAGAGCTTGCATTCCCTCGAGAGGTGAGGGAAGGAAGGCTGGGGAAGGGGAGAGCTTGCACTCTTTCGAGAGGTGAGGGGAGGGAGGCTGGGGAGGGGAGAGCTTGCATTCCCTCGAGAGGTGAGGGGAGGAAGTCTGGAGGTGTAATACAACATCACATTATTTCAAATGAACAGGAAATAAGTGCATCGACTGACAGAGGACTAATGGACATAATAAGTATGACACGATGCTTAACTTGCTGTTTTCACAGTTTGAAGGTATAATGAATCCTCAAAGAATTAGTCTAAAATCTGACTATGAAATTCATGTAATGTAGGGCTGGATTAGGCAGATTTAACTAGATTTAGACCAAACTGAGGGACATAACACATTTACCCTTTGACCCTTTGATTGAGACCCTTCCCAATATTTGTTTCTTATCTTATATTGCAGCGATTCTTTCTGCTTATAAAACTTTCTCAATTGTGACTATCATGACCTAAAAAACAGCTTTTAATTATTTTTTAATTACTAAGATCAAACCAATACTTATAAACCTTATATAAATAAAAGCCCCAAATGGCAGGACATTCAAAAGTTAACCAAAACATTTGCAAATAAAACAATAATTTTGTTGAGTCTAATGCAACATTAGCTGAGCACAAATTATAAATAATGCTTTGCACAAATATTTCGTAATTCTGCGCTTTGTATGATTCACACGAGCTTGTTCGACTCCTTAAAACTTTGAAGTTTGAAGACTTGGATCTACACGCCGCTTGTATAAACTTCAATGTCTTAATTAACTGACTCGCTTTGAACCGTTGTAGATATTTTGTTTATTGGCTTTGCTTGTTATAACTGGAGCGTCGTCAGCTACAAAATGTTTTTTAAATGTTCAATCAGGAAAAGGTTTAAGTATTGACTGGCATGTTAGAAATAACATTTCAAGATATAGTAAACATAATTGTAATAATTTCCTAAAAATAACGATAAGATCATTGTCGCCTTTTAGATGATGGTTATGATTGTTGTAACATTTACCCGTCACTGCGATAAACTTGAAACATCGTTGGGGATGTTTGATGGAGTATTTTCACTGGGAACCTTATTTCTATCAGTTATTTCCAGGGGAAACTAGGAGAACCCTATTTTATTGAGAATTAGTTTCTAGAAAATAAGGCTCCCAGTAGAAATACGCGCAATAAAGTATGGTTCCCCTAGGTTCCCTTGGAAATAACTGTTATAAATAAGGTTCCCAGTGAAAATATTCTGAGGGGAACCTTATTTCTATCAGTTATTTCCAGGGGAAACTAGGAGAACCCTATTTTATTAAGAATTAGTTTCTAGAAAATAAGGCTCCCAGTAGAAATACGTGCTATAAAATATGGTTCCCCTAGATTCCCCTGGAAATAAGTGTTAGAAATAAGGTTCCCAGTGAAAATATTCTAAGGGGAACCTTATTTCTAACAGTTATTTCCAGGGGAACCTAGGGAACCCTATTTTATTGAGAATTAGTTTCTAGAAAAAAGGGTCCCAGTAGAAATACGCGCAGTAAAGTATGGCTCCCCTAGGTTCCCTTGGAAATAACTGTTAGAAATAAGGTTCCCAGTGAAAATATTCTAAGGGGAATGATGAAACATAAACTCGAGTGCGTTGATCATCACTTGAATGCAACTCACTAATCCCTAGCTTCGAATCCTTTAGATTATGATCGTAACAAAATAATTTTTGAATGATTATGATAGTATATTGAGCGGAGCATGTGAACGTAACCAGCTAGACCGATTCAACGAACGTGTTATTCATTCATGTTATAATTCAAGTTAGTTTTTTTTTAATTAATATTGAATTTGGTGCACGTTCCTGAAAAGTTTTATAGTCAGGAAGTTAATTGTGAGGGCTAGATAATTTGAAGACTGGGGGATATTACTGTAAAACTGTACTTAAATTTGGTTGCTTCAACAGTGTGAGGAAACAAATTCGACGAAATGTGCACTCAAGTCTTAAATTCATAATGCATTTCCCGGTATATTTTCCATGTGAATTTTTTCAGTAATAAATAGACTGAGTGAAAGTAAATTTCAGTAATAAATAGACTATATTTATAATCGAACAGGACCGATTATAGATATTGGTCCAGAGAAGCTTATATCTACCTAATATTCGGATGAGAAGTTGATGTTCGAATGTCTATTTTCTTATGTCCGGATTTATGACTGAACCGAAAATCGTACCTTCTATTTCATTCTTATTATTATTTTCCCTCGGTTTTCACCCTGGCTTCAACCCTCAGGCGCAGCCAAAAGGCTAGGAAGGCTCTCGCCAGGTACCGGGTATCTCTCTTATCCGTGTCTATGTCATGACTTCATATTCATCAAGTCTCTGTTAATCTTATTAAGCCTCTCCACGCATTTTCCTGGTCTACAGCAATTTAGATTCATACACAACCTTTCATTTTTCTTTTTGCTCTTTGAAAATATTGTTCGGGTTGCAGGCGGCAGCAAAATGACTAATGTTTAGCCACCAAAAACTCACCAATTTACCGGCAGTCGATTTCTGCCGGTAAAATGTATGCATAATTGCTTTAGGATATCATGTAAGAATATCTTTCGCTACGTAAACTCTTTAACTCATCCAAAAGCACATATAGGCAGCCTACCACACCTAAATGAAAGTTCATCGCAACGTAAAGGGAAATTGAATATTTTGATTAAATTGCCCGTAATTTCGTTGTGGACTGCTCAAAGGAATATTTGTATATATGAATAGTAACTTGAAAAAATGAAGAAAGTGAATAAATTGAACTTAGTTGAACAAAACGGCACTAAATCGGGAGAAATGACGCTTCAAAAAGTTAGTGAAGTAATGCTCAGTCAGTAAACTGGGAAAGTTCGAGAGGATTTTGTGAACTGTAACGTCTCTCAAAAACAATTGTACTCTGAATATAATGTCCCGGTGATGTTTTCAAAATAGATTACAGACTACCGTCTACATAAACAATTACATTCAATAAAAACCGTAATCATAGTGAAATAAAATGTAATATCCATGATAGATATTTATGTAATTTTCATCGCTTGCGATTTATGCCAGCGTATTATCAATTTACTTGACAATAAAGCTGCATTAACACGCTCATACTTCTTTAAAATAATAAAACATCCAAACTTCTTCAAATGGACGGAATTGATTGTTAAAATTAAATTTTCCAAAGCTATTCAATGTATCGCTGTCGATAAAAGCACTGAAAACTTTCAGAAATTTTGAAAAGAGACCCACATACTTTGCAAAAAAAGATGTCTCATAAATAAACTTCATTTCGACGTCAATGAGCAATAATCAAAACTAACGAGACGGCGCGAACTTGTGCGACTAAAAGTCAGAAGTGATCACAACTTAAAGACAGGGAATATTTTTTATATTTTGCCACACTGCAGTAAATTTTCAAAAAATAGTAAAAGTTGATACAAGAAACAAACATCATTATTCATTAAAACAACCATGCGCTCTTCAGCTAGTCAATGCTCCACGAATTCGAAATCCACAATCGAAACAGAAATAGCTATGCCACGGTCATTTTGTGGCCACCTAAACCACGACTATAATTTTCAATGGTGTTAGTGATGAGAAGAAGCAGTAACTTCCTCTACTCACGAGCGGCTTGATGTTCATTATTAAGTGTTACTATAGCATTATATTCATCAAATTCCTTTGCATCACTACAGTGTATGATTGCTGTGCCTGGAAAAATGCCCGACTCTGGTGTAGTGTAGCTATGGCTGAGCTTTTTTATCACTGGGCTTTCTGTCTTAGCAGTGTTTAGAGTTTACAGGTCTATTTCTTGGACAAAAGCCAGTATTTAATGTGAGAAGAAAACATCAGTGTCGTTAACATGTATGAACTGTGCATCAACATCGTGTCACAGAGTAGCTAGTAGCTCTATAATTTATTCCATCTTCACGAAGTTTGATGCGTGATTGAAGCAAGTTATTATGAATGCCATAAAACGCCTTATAGCAGGTGCTGAAATGGCGTTTTAACTTGCCGGCACCCTCTTGCAAGCTGGTCGTTCCGTGATTTTATCGCCAGGTCATATAGAGATCGGATGAGCCTCGTGTATTGAGAAGTGAAGACCAAATTCACTTATTCTCGCGTAAAACAAGAGGATTATGTAATTGTATAAGTACAGCGTTCATAGGTCAGGAATTCGTGGTCAAAATTAATATGAGCTGGACAGGCCTAAACTATTTTGTAAGATCAGCTCAATCAGAAGTTCTCATTTTTTTATCTTTTATTGTGTTTTCACAGCAGTCGCTTGCTGGCAAGAGTTCCAAAATAAAATCACTATACTAGATTTCAAAAGAATCTAAATGGTTTAAATTAAAAACAATACGCTTCAGATCACGGTGAATAACTAGAATAAGAGAAATTCATCAGAATCATGCAGAATTAATTATCATTAGCAATATTATATCCGAGGACTAATTGAATCCAATTAACCAGGATGTGTTTAATATAAGTGTGTGCTTAAATGCATATGTTTAAATGGTGCTCTCTCAATAATTATTTGCGCGAACGAAGATTACTAATTGGTCCGTTTCACTTAAAATAAAAAGTATGTATATAAATTAAGCTTGATCTTCACACGAATTCTCTAGGTCACAGAAGCTAGAGAACAACATATCTTATATGACACTTTCAGGATATTTTCAGGGTCCAACTAAAATGCTAAACTTAACTAAAATAACATAGCTTACAGAGAATTACAAAGCAAAGAAAATGCCGCAAGAGTTCATTATATATTTACTGATATCGTTTTTAAGTAAGATCCATTGGCAGTTCAGAAATTTTGCAGCACAAGTTCAACCAATGATCACAACCGAAATTTACGAAGGAGACATTAATTGCCACAACAAAACCATGGAAACTGAAAATTTGCACAAGCAGACCGAATTACCATTGACCATCGCATATAGACTGGAACTAAATACGGTATTAAACTATGCGTGTGTTTGATAATATGAAGGTATTCTGAAATTTGGAATGTTGGAAACGACAAAAGTCAAAGCAAAAATTTTTTGAAGTCACAATAGAACGCAGGAAAGTTCCACTGCTTAGCGTAAATGTTCGGGGACCACCTAGGCTTCGGTCAAATAGTCGCTATACAATCAGCGCAAAGTTTTTTCTCGGTCTGCTTGGTTTTTCCTTCGTCTAAGAGTATGAGCAGGGTAGGTCGAGCCGATTCATACCGAGCTGGCAAGGCGTCCAGAGGCTGCTCTCGAAACCCTAAGCCGAAGCGGACATAGAGCGGCTGATTTACGTGCTCCCCGAGTCATAGACGGCACCTATTTTCGAGCCGCGCACGCATCAAAATTTTAGGGGGGGTTAGGCTGAATGAGGAGGACAATTAGGCAGTGCACAACTGCTACCTTCATGCTATGCAAGTCTTGGATACAAGTTGAGTTAAGTTGTACCCACGTACGCTGATGCGCGTTGAGATTAACTTCACGTGAAATCTACAGACAGTCGCATAAATCTATGGACAGGGAGAACATTATACGCGTAAATAAAGAACCATTTTTTAAATTTGAAAGCTAATAATACTTCAACTTCAAAAAAAGTGTTTCAAACTCACCATGGAACTAGCACCTAACAATAGTAATTTATTTATTGTTCCCTATGCCACTAAATCTGAAGGCTTTTGAAGGCTTGTTTTTTTTTTGTCCGAAAGTTGGCGCTTATCAGTTCAAGCATCAGCATACATGGCTTGTTATTTCTTTTATGTTGATAAGATTCAAGCCTTCATGCTCAGCGGCTTTCAAATTTGCTCTACTTTCTATGCTTTGAAATCTGAATTTGACATTTTTGCGCAATATCTTCTTGCTCGTGGTTTTCTGAACGCCTGATATTTTCTCAAATGAATAAATTCATATCAAAGTAATGTGATAAAATGGTCTCGAGTCTAACCTGCATTAGGAACGTGGTTTATTGTTAATTTCTATACTTTGACTAGGCATCTGAGACTTTGTTAGAGGAATTTAAACTTTTATTCATTAAATACTTTCCGAATGTTAATCTTCAGGCTTTCTTCGTGAACAATTGGAAACTCAATACTTTTTTCAGGTGTAAATATATTGTGTCTCTGTTGTCATGGTTTCTGGTCTATAAATATTGGCGTGCGGAACACATCAGCGTAAGTCGGTATTGTGTCAAGCAGCTTCTATTATAGAATATGAAGCATTGAAGTATGAGTTATCGTACTGGAAACCTACTTGCGCATCCTCCTCATTCATCAGTACGCATTCACGCCGAGCAGTGTAACGTACTTTTGCTCGGCGTAGAAATCTCAGTAGAAATTTAGCTTGCACTTTCGGTGTTTCTTTCTTTATAATCATATTACTCAGAGGTTGGCGGAAGACTAGTTTAATAACCATATTTTATCCTTATCTACTTGAAATTTAAGCAGATATGTTATTCTACATATTCGTATTCTGACTTGCCTTTTGTTACACTTCTCAGTTTAGTGTGCAATCCTCTCAGCAGTAACTTTCTGAGTTAATGTTGAGCAAATTGATTATACTTGTATTCGATAATTACGGAATTGAAGGTAGAGTTGAACTACAAATCTTTCTCAATGAGGATATTGATTTTTTGGCTTTTTCCTTTTAATTTGTACATAATTTTAGGTTGAAGCATACATGTGCTCTTATTACATAAATCCAGTCCATGACATTTCAAAACAAGATTACGAAACGCGCTATGAACATCACAGGAGAGAATTTAAAATAGATTTTTAAGAATTACGGTATGTAATGAACCAACTCGAGTTTAACCTTAATTTTTTAATTTATTTAAATTTTCATGGTGCTTATTTCTCTTAAGAACCCTAACTTAAATATCAACAAATACTGGCAATACTCCAGCACCTATTTGTATTATTTTTTGCTCGGTGCGTGCCAAGGATCCTTTGATGTAACGAGTTCCTTGTCAAGCCTCGTCCACTTTGAATAATTTCCTGCCAGAGATTGTGAACGCTAGAACTTCTGTGGTAATCGATGTTGTGTTTCGGTGTTCCAGTTTTCATCTTCGTTGTACTCTAAACGTTGGCTGTGATAATATAAACATTTGCTGTGACATTTTTTTACTTTGTCGCTTGGTAGTGAAGAATATTCTTTGATATTCCTGCCTGACAGTGAAATTACTGCGACACTGAACAATGAATCGTTTTAATACGGTACCGACTTGTTTTAATGGGCTACTGCAATAACACGCGAAAACGCTTGATTGTAAAACCTTGATCTCAGGCGACGCCAAAAGCGTAACTAACCTGAAAACGAATAGTCATTTCAATACGTACGGGCTCGGATAGTAGATTTTATCATGGGTTGCGATGCAACATTAAGAGTAATTATATATGCTTACGTTGTAAGTAATTATACTGTAGCGTTAGCTCAAGCGGATGACCGGTTAACCTGTTAGGATGAACATCTTAGTAGGAATTTCTCTACTCTCCTACGCAGCGAAATGACGATTTGGTGCGACATCTTCGAGCCATCTTCAGCGACATCTTCATCTGAAGATGTAGTCCTGATGTTACAGTATATCGAAAGTGTACGCGGTCATCACTTAGGGCATCGGCTCAGGATATCATCAAGCAATGATTCTCTACAGAGAATCATTTGATGATTATTACAGACCATAATCCGGCTGGTGGTCTGGGATAAAAATTTCCTTATGATTTTAAGTATACTCGTATACGCTGTGTATTATGCGTTGACTTGAAACGTCCACCCTTTATTTGACTTCTAATTCAAAAGTGATGCATCACTACGTATACTGCAAGGAACTTCTAATAATTCATTAATTCTACCCCGCCAATTTTTCAACAGGTACTTGGCTTAGCTGTAAGCCATATGTTATTCTGCTACTCTGTCCTAATGTTAATGACTCGAGTGGCTGAACTGAGAACACATTTACTATTGTACCGCCCTGTGCTACTCTGTCTCAATGTTATTGTATTATTGACTCACGTGGCTGAACTGAGAACAAATTTACTATTGTACCGCCCTGTGCTACTCTGTCTCAATGTTATTGTATTATTGACTCACGTGGCTGGACTGAGAACAAATTTACTATTGTACCGCCCACTGACGAGCCAAATGTGTTACCCATTAGGACTCCAGGTGGCAGCGGGTCGCGGCGGTCCAGCATGAAGGAACTTTTAGTGTCTCTCTCGATGGACAGAAGGTCAGAAGTGCCGCTGAATGTATTTGCTGCACTTTCACCGCCCAGTATTTTCTTCTTGAGCTTTCCACCCTTTGTTTTGTCCACGTAGGATTTGCAAAACTGCACAAGTATTCTGGCATACTTATGCTTCAACAGTACCATCTTCATGACAATGTTCTTGACCCGAAATGGCCCCTACAGATCTGTCTTCGTTTGAGCTGAATTCACGCTCTGTGTTTTCCCTGACGCACAACAAATCTTACTTGACTCCAACTGATTGACAAAACAAAATTATTCATAATTTCATTCATTCCATTCCTATTATCATCATTATTCTTTGTAGCAGGAACAATTCTCGCTATCCTGCACTAAATTCCCATAGTGTTGCGTTACAGCAGTTCATTCCGATCTACTCTAATATTGATGAGGTAAAAAAGGATATTTGAGTTGCAAACGTTAAAATTTATCGTCAGTCAAAGTAGAACATGAGTTTTTATCAGCAGTTTCCATCAGACAGAACTAAATCTTGCAAACTGGACAATATAATCGCAATGAAAAATTGCCGTTAAGCTTTTTAGACCCCTATAGGGCAAAGACGTGCTAATGAATCCAGAATTTAAGAATCCTCATTCATCCGAATGTTCAATTTAAATACCAAATTTCGTTGTCATTTTGAAATTTTAAAGAAATCAATATATCCATAAGTGCTAATTTTGCGTTTCTTTTCTTATAAGTATCAATTTAGTAGCTGATATCACACATTGCATGCATTCTCAAATCCTTGCCTCGTTTCTTCTCTATTGACTAAAATGAAAAATTCGACGCTACTTAACTAATAACCTCACAATAATATATTTGCCCATCAAAATGGCATCAATGAATTGATATGAATAATTAGGCTGAATTAATTTGATGATGCTTTTCAAGCAGTATTTTTCTCTCACAGATTGGGTTATTTTTTTAAAGTGCACAATTTTGAACCAAGAATAAATTTGATATTAGTTTGAGACGAAGTCTTAGTTGCAATTTTTTTTTACTTCCCCTTGCCCGGCTCTGGAACAAGGAAAATGTACCCCATATCTTTCCTCCAACACCTTACGCAGTTCAGTTTCTGTACGGGTTCTTCAACATTCTCTAAATTAGTTAAGAGTACGACAAGGATAAAATGCAACTATTTCTCTCTCGAGAAAGTTCAGGAGCAAAGTTAGCCCAGTCGCGTAGTGTGACTCCGGCCCATCACTCCAACCAGTCCGCTCGAACGGACTGTAAATCTCAGCCCTTCCCCTTGCCCTACATGCGCATTATTTTCCCTCCCTTGCTCTGCCTTCTCTTGCTTTCTAGATTAAAAACTCGCGTTCTTGGAATTCCATTTTCTCTTACTCGGTTCCCGTCCTCTTACCTTTATTTGTTCTCTTGTGCTCAATTGTGTGTGTAGCACAACAATACCGATTTAAATTTAAAATTGTGTCATCACACAATAGATCCAATGCTCAAAACTCTTCTCTCCTGCCCTCATCATATACCCTCTCTCGTATTTGCTTTCATTATGCGCAAGTGCATTTCACTTTTATCCGAACAAACTCTCATTAGTTAATTTAGTTGACCTGTCACATCTCGTCTTAAAGGCAATTTTTTCATTTTAGTTTAAACTTGAGATTCAATGCCATTCGCTGGAAACATCACTGGAATCCTCAACAAATTCTTTCAAGCACCTGAATATGAACACAGAAAATGGGGTGGCACCTCATTTCCTTCCTACATCCAATCACTTCAATGAACGCATTCGTAAGAGACACTCACGTCGCAGACGAGCGTCTTCATGTGATTGACTTGCCCTTGTTTGCAGTTCATTTGTCGTGGGGGCGACAGTGCAGCCCTCGTCAGATCTTTCAGGTTGTCTTCTTGTCGCCTTCATGATTAGCGACGCAAATGACAGAAGCCGTGCCCATTTCCTCTCAGGGAAATGATTGAAGGTTTGATGATTGAGGCACCTGGGATTTGTTGATTGTGCTCAAAACAAATCACAATCAGTTCAACAACAACAGATTCGGGCTCAACAATCAGATTCGGTCTTCTTATATTGGTTTAGTGCACAGCGGCAAAAAATCTCGCTTAATTCTTACGGTGACAATTCATATATTCTTAAAATTCTGTCTATTCTTCTACATTGACTGGTAATTATCAGAAATCTTGGCCCGCTAATTGGTCAATAGTTATCTAATGACTAATTCTAAAAATTTGCTCGTGGCTCCAAAAATCATTACATTTATACATGTTCTTAGTAAATGAATAGGTATAGGCCAATCTGCTTTTATTATACTTGAGCTGAAAACCTGCAACAGCACCAAATTAACAGACTCAAAATGTCATACTGAACAAACCGCTTAGAATTTTTTAGAAATTATACCGCTGGCGGTTTCGATCTATATTTAAATATCAAGTGAAGAAAAATTTAACTATCGTTAATTTTTACCGTCTCATATAATGACCGAAGCCTTGCTAAATTTTATTCCAACCTCATCCAGATAAAAATTTAAATCTCGCCTCATATACGACTCATAAAACTTCAACTTCACCTAACATATAACAGTCAGTCGAATCCGAGTAATAAACTTAATTACAAAACTCAATGGGTTCTTTAACATCATGCTTTTACTGCCCTTTAAACTGCTGACTCCTATGACTTTTGGCCTCTGCAAAATCATAATTTTTACTTTTATATTCGTACGTGACTTTCCATGACTTTTAATGTCAATATATGTCTTCGTCGTTCGATTCTGATTGCCTATTCATGAGGCTCTTCGCTTCTCCATCAGCGAGCAACCTTTCCTTGGGGGGCGCCTGACCCAAAAATCTTTTGTCGAATGTCTTCCATATTTTCAGACTTTCTTCGACAATCCTTGTTTTGTCTTAAAATTTGTTTAATGTTAGACGGTTCTAATGTTTGTGAACTATATCCAAGACCCGTCGTTGAATACTACGCACATTTCTCCTACAAAATTTCATCCTCCCATCCTTTACTCTGTCCACTGACGTATATATGTTTCTATTCTATTCTATTCTATTCTATTCTATTCTATTCTATTCTATTCTATTCTATTCTATTCTATTCTATTCTATTCTATTCTATTCTATTCTATTATGTGACTAACTCTTCACTGCGACACTCAAGCAATTTTCCTAGCAAACACTCTTAGCTCCGTATGAAGTATTACGTCTTTTCGTCCGAATTTAAACGTTTTTCGAAAAAATAATGATCACTGCATTTTTCTTCCCATTTACAGTAAAGTACAGTCTGTAATATTTATAGTGAAGAACATGTATAGGCATCCTGATCTCGCCGGGTATTGGAACGCGTGTGGGTAATATAAATTTTACGAGACTTTTAAAGGATGTTAATAATTTACAATCTAATTGCAAACATTTTAATGTTATTCAAGGACATTTAGTTGATCAGAAAAAAACTTTCAATTGATTATTTTAATTTCATTCACCTATTTCAAGTTGGTATAAAGAGAAACATTATAAATGGTTGATATTCGAATTAAACTCATGTTCTTCACTTTAAATTGTTTATAAATCACGTGTTTGTCTTTTTGTATAACTTTCTAATGTACTATACTGTTTTAGATATCTAAAACAAGCGTTTATTTTTCGATCGTGAATGCCTTGGCTTCTGTGAAAATTCAGTCTCTCATCTACATAAGATTTTATGTTGTGTTGTTATTAGAAGACTCTATATTAAATTATACATTTCTTGTGTTTCTTTCAATACGATTTTCATTATCTATTTAAGTCAATCTTCAGCTATTTGGCGTTCCTCTTCCTCTTGTTTGTAAAAAACTTATCACCTTCAGACTTGAGTCAACCTAATGCCAAAGTTGACATCAAAGCTCGCAGAATGGACTGATGAAATAAGAGGAACCTATACTACGTTACAAACGGGTCTCCTTACGTGCCACTAAAATTACAATAAATAAATAAATTATGCTTAATTTACAATGTGATCCGTGCGCAGCTCTCCACCATAACGATCGTAAGGGTATCCATGACTTTGGAAGTGTTCTCCGTTACTTTTTACAAGTTTACTTTACCCTCCAGTTTGTGTACTGTCAGTCATGATTAACTAATAACTAAATCATTTAGTGCTTGGCGATAATCGTCATACACAAGTAATTATACAAATTGGCTCATTTTCGCTGCAGCGCGTTATTCACAAATAATAATTGTACATTTTCAATTATCCAGTAACCAGCTCAGCCAATTAGTAGTCTTTATTATCAAATGAGATACGAATGCTTCTCTTATATATTCTGATACGAAGAATGCGATGCACATTGCTTAATTCATCACTATGATTCGATACAGATTGCGTAATTTCATCGTTATATTCCGATGCTATCACTGTTAGAAAAAACGGTGAAAAAACGGTCCCACTGGCGTTCTAGTGGCCGGTCGTCCCGTGAAAATAAACTGTTTCGCCGTTTTTATCAAATGTTCTATGGATTTCTAGTGTTAAATTAGAATAAAAACGGCGACACGGTGTTTCTTTTCACGTGCCGACCGGCCACTGAAACGCCGGTATAATACCGTTAACGTCAATTTTTCTAACAGTGTATAAGTGCATAATTTCATAACCAGAAAACAGTGCTGATTACAAAATTTAATTGCTATATTCCTATTCATATTGCACAGTTTTAAAACTAAAATCCGATGTAAATTGCGCTATTGTATCACTATAATTGGATGAAGTATTCACAATTCCATTGCTATGCACCGATGCATATTGCACAATTTTATCATTTTGTTGCGACGCAGATTGCCCAACTGTATAACTATATTCCAAAATAGATTGCACCATTTTATTACTATTGTTCATGATAATTGCACAGTTTCATAGCCAAAACCTGATGCAGCTTACGCAATTTTGTTGCCATATTTTGATGACATTTGCACAATTTTACCATTAGATTCTAGGGCAGATTTCACATTTTTATCTCGACAAATTCATAAATCTGCAT